ACCCAAAACCCCAAAACCCCAAAACCCCAAAACCCCAATATTTCTTTCCCTGATTGAAACCTTATAATTAATAAGGATTCTAGTCTCTGATTCATGAGGCTTAGGCTTCTCTCTGGATTTGGATTTTAATGTTCTTACAAGATCTATTGGTGCTACTTCTACCCTTCACTTTATCCACTCTTGCAAGAGGTTTGAGATACTTTGTATTGTACTGAACATTACTTTTTACAATATTGGCGAAATTATCAAAGCTATTCGACTGCTCCATGAATTCATTGACCTTTTGATAAGTCGTATGAAGCTTCTGCATCAAATCTTGTTCTTCATGCTCTAATTTCTCAGCTTTGTGTGCATTCTCCTCAGCATGTTTCAATCCATCAATTTTCTTCTCAGAGTATAGTTGTTTTAACTGAGTAATTTTTCTTTGCATCCCCTATTGATCAAAATAAACTGAAGGTTCATACTCTTTCACGCTTATTTTGGCACTTGAATTTCTCAGCCATGATATTAATCTTGGCTATTTCCTTCTGCTTTTGTTCACAAAGATTTATCATTTTCCTCTTCTCAAGAGCTAGGTGTGAGCTAAATAAATTACCTTGCGAAGCAAAACTCTTAGTCTGGAGCCTCATTTTCTAGAAGTCATTAAGTTAATTACTCTTTTTAAGTTAACACTTTCAGCTCTTTTGAGAATTATGTTGTCTCTAAGTCTCTTTCTAGTAGCTGATATTTCCTATGAATTATGGATAAAAAGACACTCTTTTCCTCTGTTCAAGCTGACTTTTCATCCGACGTTTGTTATCCTGAATGTGTTGGGAGTATTCAAACTTAGATCTCTTTATTTTAGCCATCTCGTTTGCACGCTTTTTAGCAAGAGCTAGCTTCCGATTTGCTTTCTTATCAGTAGTGCTTAGGTACAAGATACGGTTGCTGAGAACCTTAATGTTCATTTCAGAGGCTTTCTTATTCATCATGATCTCAAACATGCTACATCAGGGTTATATCAATTATAAATGAGAGAAATGGCTGGTAGTTACCTTTTATTATTTACATCTCCTCCTAGAGCATTAAAATTGGTCACAATTATACTCATTCTGAGTAGTTATATATGAACGACCTTTTACACTGCAGCTTTTATTCCCGATAGACTTCGATCGAGGAAATTTATTCATTTCTTTAACCGTTCGATAAGCGACCTGCTTTTCATGTCTTATTGGAGGAGAGTTTGTCTGATATACAGAAATAATATCATATGCCTTATTTGTCCTTTTAATCCCAGTCTTGGACTTCTTTTGCACTCCTTCCTGATGAATATTAGAACTAAATTCCTCCAAACTTTGTTGGATCTGAGACATTGTCAAAATAAAATATAATTTGTTTCAAAAATTCCTAAGAAATTTGGGGTTTTGGGGTTTTGGGGTTTTGGGGTTTTGGGGTTTTGGGG